AAAGTCCAGTAAAATGGATTGTGATTTTTAGATACAGGTTTGACCTTTTAATTATCATTCTTACTTGTATCCTTTACTTTTCTGTGAGACTGTGGCATGTCACTTGCATGGTATTCAGGGAAGCCTGGATTTCTACAGAGCTAAACCAGGGGCAGCAGGCAGAATTCATTTGATCTAATCATATTCTACATTCCTACTGTGCTGCACTCCAAACTCTATGCTTTTTAACCTGAACATGTTTGGTTTCACTTGGGCTGCTTAAATGTCCCTGCAATGTAATTATTTTAATTGACTCGTCTTTAGCAATAAATATAGGCAAAGCTCCATAGGATCTGTGGCTGATGCTCAGCTGGCAAGCTGCTTATGAGCCCAGCAGATACTTCTGATGTTAAGGAAAATATGAACTTTACTAGCTCTCTCTCTGCTTAAGAGAGAGAAACAAAGCTCTGATCCTATAAGATGCTGAGCATCTCATGGGGAAACGCTAAGCTCCTTCAACTCCCTCAGTAAACATAATTATTATTTTAAAAAAGAGGCTTCTTGCACATAGTGGTACTAGAGAAAGGCATAACAATTAAATTTCTGCCCTTATTCACAAGCATGCAACCCCCATTGACTTCAATGGGAGCTGAGCATGAAAACCCAGTCTCTAAGGTGCCACAAGTACTCCTGTTCTTTTTCCAGGAGAGTATGTGCCCCTTGTTTTTTCAGCTTGTTTGACGTCAGATATACCAATAATGATAGATATGTTTGCAAGAAAAGAGAGAGCTGGGGTAAGGCTGCAACTCAGTGTGAGAGTCTTGGTGAACATACTACTTGAGAATCCGCTGAAAGACTGGGAATTCCCAGACTCTCAGCTTGGAAACAACTAACATGCATGAACCTCTGTTCTTTGTATTGACAAATGTCATGTACATAGATTCATAGATATTAACTTCAGAAGGGAGCATCATGATCCATAATGGTATTTATCACACCTTTGGAGTGTCACTTCTTATGGGCATCCATGGAAGTTCTGTCTTCTGCACACACTATTCTCCTTCTGTTGGTCTAGACTCTAGAGTTTCATTGTTTGGTGGAACGTAGTTGTCATGGGAGAGCAGGGACATAAAGGTAGAGATGATTTAGTTGGGGATTGGTCCTGCTTTGAGCAGATGACCTCCTCAGGTCCCTTCCAACCCTGATATTCTATGATTCTATGATTTCTTCAGTAATTAGAGTCAAACCAGTGAAAGTTTTGAACATCTTGAGTTGGACTTGAATTGGACTCTATGTTCCACAACTGGTGCTTCAAAGGTAGCGGTGGTAAGCATACTGTGATTTAGATTACCAAACTCTCAATATTACCTTGCAGATACCATGGACTCATAGCAATACTTGCAGCAAAGAATTCAGCAGCAACTCACAGGTAAAAAATGTTTTGCCTAAAATGTTCATCAACAAATTAGTACAAATCACAGTCTGATCACAGACAGTTTTTGAAAGTGTAAAGATAAAGTTCAATGGATACATAATTTCTTATTAACTGTTTGCTGAGCACTAGTACTAGCCCCTTCTGAGCAGTCAATTATCATGACAAATTATTAGCTAACAGATTTATTCAAGCTGTGGTTGTCTGTTTGAAATAGACATCATGCCATGAACTTGATTTTGCTGTGGATGCAGCCTACTGAGCTGAGTGACATTTAGTGCCTCCGAGCTTGACTGGAAATGAATATTCTGTGATATAAGCAGTCAGTGATTGAAGCATCATTTCATCCTGACTCACTCAACTTTTTTGTTAATTGATTACCATTGTCTGCTTATAGTGCTTACAGTGCCAAATAGACTCCCATATAGTCTCTCTGCACATGGTCTACTTAATATACTGTGATAGATAAGATTGGATGAACAGTCTTTCTGAATGACAATGGACATGATGGTCCTACCAATGGAATAATTTGCCAGAGGAGGTTAATGGAAAGATTAATCTCCAGGAGGTTTTCCCTGTGAAGGTTTGTCCCTGATCTTTCTATCTGTCCTTGAAGTCTTTAAACCACGATTTGAGGCCTTCAATAGCAGACATAGGTGAGAGGTTTTTCACAGGAGTGGGTGGATGAGATTCTGTGGCCTGCGTTGTGCAGGAGGTCAGACTAGATGATCATAATGATCTCTTCTGACCTTAATATCTATGAATCTATGAATCAGGGGGCAAGGTTTGCCCATTCCGTGTAAAGGCTGTGGATCCCACTGTCCACATCCTGCACATTCCCCAAAGTCTATGTAGAGTGGCTGGGATATCTGTCTGTAGATAGCTCAGAACCAGGTCTGTGTTCCTCGTCCCTTCCTCCTCTCTAGCATCATGGCTTCAAGGGGAATTATTAAACCTATTGGTGTGCAGAAATGTTGTGATCAGTGCATGTTCTTTCCTCATGAATCAAGGGGTCATGATCAGTCCCAAATATATTAAAGTATGTTCTAACATTATTTTGTTCACATTTAACAGTAGAGATGTTTTTCTACAGCACCAATACCTCTATATGTCAGTATATCTGGACCTTTACTATGAGAATAAAACTCTGTTTGATAATATTTAGGACTTCTGCTAGGGGTCTCTGCAATATTATGGAGTCTTTCCATTTGTGCTGTTGAATTTTGAGAACAATTTGAACTACAATTCTGATGTATTAAATGACCCTGTTCTTTAGTTTTTAAAAAATATTCCTTTTGAGGCACCAGTATGAGAGAGAAATTTAGGCAACCAACAGTGATTCACATAAAAATGAGCACTGATGGTACAACCAGAAGAAAGCAGCATCTTTCTTGCATGGTTATTTCCCAGTTAGAGCCAGACTCTGACACCTTTACTCTCAATGAATAGCACCTTATTCCACAAATGGTCCCATTGACTGCAGTGGGCCCCTCATGAAACAAAGTACTACTTAAAATGAGTTAGGGTATCAAAATCTGGCCCATAGTTACTAATTGCTGTTGCTGTTATCTATTTGTATTTCTGAGACAAGGTGGGCGAGGCAATATCTTTAGTTGGACCAACTTCTGCTGATGAAAGAGACAAGCTTTCATGCTTATACAGAGCTCTTCTTCTCCTTCTTGACTTGAAGAGCTCTGTGTTGCTGGAAAGCCTGTCTTGTTTACCAACAGAAGTGGGTCCAGTAAAAGATACTATTACCTCACCCACCTTGTCTCTCTAATTTCCTGGAACCAACATGGCTACAACAACACTACAAAGAAAATTTTTGTTTCTGACACTGTATGAAGTTACTTTGTTCTCATGCAGAAATATGACAGTTACCTTGATTTACCATGCAGTAACCATTGTTCTCAAAAGAGCTGCTCCTCACATGTCATTGGCACAAGAATTAATTGTGTTTTGTGGTAATTCAATAAACAGAAGCTTCGCTTCTCACTATACTAACTTTTGTTTTTTAAATATTACATTTGTGAGGATTTCTGCGGGGTATTGCTCCTAGATCAATCTGCAGTTTAGCTCAGACACTAACATGGTGGTATAATTCCTAAAGAAAGGCTGGGTTTACCTGTAACATTTTAATACAAATATCCATCCACATTCACATCAGTGTGACTAGGTGAATGTTTGGAAAAAAAGATTCACAACCATTGCATCACAACCAGCTTTGATTGTATTTGTGTTCCCCAGACATTCTAGCAAATGAGGTTGATTGAGGGAATGTTTGTGGGAACAGCAACTGCACGTGAACATTGGTGAATATTTGCAGAAAGAGAACTTTGCGTTTGTAAATGTGAGAATTGGTACCATATCTGGATTCTAAGAGTTGTGCTCATACAGGCAAGTAGCAAAAAGATACCAAGTGATCCATGTGTTCAGTCAACATGAATAAAGCTTAAGTTTTGAATTTGGAATGTCAAATACTTGCAATGAACTCCTTATGAACAACCACAGTGGAGATTGTAGTGGTTCCTACAGGTTCCATTTGGCAATTAGGTTTTGAAACAGTAGCCCATTTCTCTGGTACTTGGGACTCCTAGTCATTAAGTGGAAATGAACAGAGACCAGTAGAAACCAATAACGACCAGTTGTAGCAAATGGACAGCAATTAAAGAATCCTAATGGAACTTACAGAATTTCCATTAGAGAATCTGCAGAACAAGAATTTTTCACAGAAATTGGGGTGAAATTCACCCATGATTCAGAGGGCCCTCTTCATGACCTAAGCCCTAGCTGCTGTAAAGGTTGAATGAGCATGGACTAGCGAGTCTGAACAATAGAGCTGGTGGAAAACTTCTTGACCAAATGATTTTTGGCCAAAAGGGTTTTTTGACAAAAGGGCAATTTTCATGAGAAAATTTCCATTTGTGTTTACATTTGGGTGGGTTTTGTGGGGAAAAAAAAGCTGGGTTTTTTTCAGTTTTCAACAGCTGAGAACCAAGAATGTTTCAATTTTTAGTTTAACAGAAACCAAAAATATTTTGGCTTTAGCTTTTTGGAAGAAACCTGAAAAACTCAGCCAAAACCATTTTCATAGAAATGAAATACATTTTTGACCAGCTGTACTGCCCACCCTTTATGTATTCCAGAGATGATCTCCATGACAGCCTAACACAGGCTGGTGTGGAAGACTGTGATGGAGGTGGGTTAGGGCAGGGGCTGTGCAATCAGTATTTACATGGATCCAGTGACCCCAAACACTCAGAGTAACTGATATTGAAGAGTTATCATTGCTTTTCCAGCAGGAAGAGGGAGAAAAAAGGTAGGCTGGGCAGCAGTCTTCCTCTTTTGTCTATTGGCAAACATGTTGTTTTCTCAACTCTTTACACCCTATGAGAAGTTTATTTTTTTTTCAACTAGTCAGAAAAAAAGGCACACTATTATTCCATTCTTTGCATGCTTACATATTGCACAACAGACACGCTTTGAGACCAAATATACTTTAAGAAGTTAACACATTTGGAAATAGATAAACTGATCTCAATTGGTATGTTGAAGGTAGAATTAACAAGTGAAATCGCTTCAAAATTGATCTGGTAAAAAAAACAATTTTTTAATTTTTTGACAAAAGAACAAATTGTTCATAAAAAAGATTTGTGATTCCCACCCTCCTCCCCATTTTCTGGTTAAAAGGATTTGAAAAAGGTGTTTGTTCTAAACAAATTTTGGGGGAAACAGCGCCTCTGTGTTCTGTACTGCAGACTTGTGGCTTTCATAATCTGTGATCTGCATCATGGTAACATGAAATAATTCCATATCATCCTTCATGTTATATAGCATTTTTTTCCTTTTCTACCATGTCAGTTGCAAAAATAAGTAAATAAATCCTCCACAAACAACCCCATCCCACCCTCACAGTTTTGAAACTGGTAATATTGGTAAAACTCACAGATGGCACAAAAAAACTTGCGTTCAAGAGAATCCATTTTTGACCAGAGGCAGCAATACTATTTCAGTCTATCTATCAATATCTATTTTTGCAAAATATTGGTTGCAGTTTGTTTCGCCATGCACTACACTTCCCATTTAAATCAGTAGACATCAACTATCATGATGGATACCAGATGTCATGCCTGACCACTTTGCCACTCTTTTTTTTTTTTGAGCTGCTATATGTCCAGATAAGCCTTCCCTCAGTGGAAATGTGCTCCTCTTATTGTAGGTAATGAGGTTGGTAGATCCAGGAAAGCCACCTCCCTTCCATCCCTGTTTCTACAGTGGCCTCTGTTACAGCCAGCCAGAGGGGCAGTTCATACATATAGGAGTGCAGGCTGAGGCAGCAGCCCATATACAGTCCTAAGTATCTCTCCTCTTATCCTGCAGTATTCATGTAAACCTTGAGAGTCTGCTTCCAAAGGAGGAACCCATAGACAGATCACAGAAAGCAACATGTAGCTTTCTGTTACGATAGGGAGAGCTACAAAACATGAGAGCAAAATAACATCCAAAATTAGAGAGTGAAAAAATACATCAAAAAGAAAATGATTGGGAGGAAGGAAAGGTAGAAAATGGTGTGGGAGAGAAAATGAGCAAGGCAATTGATGGTGGCAACAGAGACTGGCACAAGAGGATGTAGGCTGATAGTGCTGATTTGCTAGCATACCCCAAGTGTGTGTGCGTGATCTACAGGCGAAAAGTAGGGGGACCCGCTGTCATGTGTTTGATAAAATTTTAAATTGACCCATGTTTAGAACTGTGATTAAACTTCAATATATTTTATAAAAAATAGTACTTAGTTTACTTTCACGGAAGTGAAGAGATACAATTGCACAATGGTGGTTACAATGTAGAAATACATATCATCGATAAACTGCAAGTGAGTTCAAAACGTACTGTACAGCACCGCATCAGAAATTGTGTGATGGCAAAATGAATCATATACATTTTTTCAAAGTAAATCAAATCCCTAAAATCTTTCTCTTGGAATAAATAATAATAATGTGCATTATGCTTCAGATTGCTACCAAAATATTTCCTGATGTTGAGCAATAGACAGAGTCAAAAAAGACATAAGGTAAAAAAAAAGACATTCATGCATTTAAGCCACCATTAGTCTCTGACTCTAATATAAGGCAGATCATAATCTTTTTAAAACTGTCTTTAGCCATTTAAACCCTCTTTAGTGCTTTTCATGACAAGGTCATGGCAGGCCTTGTTTTTTCAAGAGTTAGGATGCTTGTATTTCCAACCGGTCATTTTTGACAGGCTCAGCCATATTTGGAACACATTGCACAGTAGAAAATGCGTTTGTTTTTTAATGAAAAAGAACTTAAATAAAAAGAAATCCAGAAGGATGTTTTAGAGTTTATCACAAATGACACTTTTGAAGTGTGCGTGTGTGCCGGGGGGTGGGGGTTTAAGGGGGAGAGACAAGTTTATGTGTCATCTTCGGTCTTAATGATGTGGAAAAGGGTGACATTGAACAGGACCTGATGTCCATTGTTCCAGGCATAGAGAGCTCTATCTCTTGCATTGTAGTCAAGCATGGATATATGAAAGTACTGATTATGGAACGGAATGTCTGTATACTCATAAGTTGAGGTTTTTGTGGAATAAGAATAGTAGACCTTGGCTCCTGTTAAATGTGAGTTGGTAACATACAAAGTTCCACAGATCATGAAGGATTCCCCAGCACTTCTTTTTGGATAGCCTGTACTCCAGCTCTTCATCACTTCTAACGTATCCTGGTTTAGCTGGCTGATAACAATGTTGCCTGCATTCTGGTTGGTAGCATATACGGCCCACAGCCCAATTTCATCTGCCATCAGGTCAATATCTGAGAAGCCGCCCCAAGTGTAGGGGTACACATTGTGAAAGCCAGCATATTCCAGGCTACGCTGTGCAAGCACCCGTCCTGCGTCAAAGCTGTATTTGATGATTATGTTACTCTGATACTTGTTGAAATAGAGGGAGCCATTGTAGACAACATGATTGGTTCCTGCCCATTTGAAAGGAAGATTGTATGTTCTTGATTCAGCCCCACTGACAAAGTCTGTGATTGATTTGTATTCACGGACAATTTTATTGTTAGTATAACTGTCCATGTACCAGACCTGAAAGAAAAATAAAGAATAAGCTGTGAACTACTGAAATAGAATCCTTGGCTGATCATGCTGTATACTGAGTACATTTTAAAAAATGTTCCAGAAATCCTGTGGCATTGTAAGTTACTAGACTTGCTCATAAAACCTACAGAAGTACAAGATGTGTTTGTATATTTATTCTGTTGCAAAAACATTAGTAACACTATTGTTTTGGATCAGAACCTACTCAATAGCCTCTCTGAGGCTGCTTTCACAACGTCTGCCAGCATCAGAGAAGTTTGCTTTTAGAGTGTTCTAATAGCTTGGGCCTCTGGCTCAAGGGGTCATTTGTGTTGTTAATGATGTGCCCAGATTGTGAAAATCCCAAAGATGGAAGGAAAGTTGAGTGTGACTCGAACCTTTGAGTCACACCCAGAATTAGAACTGGTTGGAATTTTTCAGATGAAACTTTACTTGTTGAAAAATGGCATATTTTCAGGAATGAGAATTTTCCATGAAAATGTGTTTTTTGGGTTTTTTTTTTGGTATCTTACCGATTTTTTTCCACTTTTTGGTTCCCCATCACCTTTCTCTCCCATTTTATCTTCCACACCTTATTCCTTTATTTCACTTCCCCCCCTTTTACCCCTGCTAAGGGGGGAGGGAAGAGAAAGTAAAAGAAATAAAACAATAAAATAAAAACAAACACAAATTTTCTTTTTGCTGAAAATTTGGAAAATTCCCCCCAAGATGAAATTTTGTTAATTTTTGTGACACATACGTGCCTTATTTCAAACTAGCTGTGACTGAAATCAAGCAAACTCAAGTGCATTGATTTTTTAGTATTGGCCTTATCAGGTAAAGACCTGGATAAACCACATTGAGGGCTTAACTCTGCAAGCATATGCATTAGTATACACATGTAGGAAGCTCATTGACATCAGTGAGATTACCCACATGAGTAAAGTTACTCATGAATAACTGTTTACAGGATTGTGTCCGTAGAAGATGGTTATTGAAAAAAATATAATGAAAAGAAGGAAAATAATGTGTATTTGTATACAGAATACAGACTAGTATGCATCCTCCCTGAAACAAGCAGTTTAAAACTAATGAAAATATGTAATACAGTTGAATTATTTTTTTAAGGAGGATGGTTTAACCTTTTTTTCCCTGAATTACTTCAAAATATAGGATATGAAAATGCAGGGAATACGAGAAATAAATGCTAACTGGGAAAATCTCATGTAGGGAAAATATCTCCCTGTCAAGATTAAAAATGCAAATAAAATATCAGAAGAACAGAAAGATATTCAATGCCCCAACGTACTCGGTTATTCTTTTCTGATGCTAAAGGATCTGTCATCCAGGCTCCAAATCGGGTTCCAGAGGTCTTGACTGTAATGGGGCCCGTAATTTTCATCAATTTGCCACATGCTGAAATTAGAAAAACAAATGTACTCTTATGAAAGCCACAAACAATTTAAATATAACCTGACCATATTCTGAATGATGTCAAAGAGCTGTCTAGGGAACAAGACTAATTGCTATAAACCACAGAATGATTTCAGGATGTATGGGGTTGCTGGTTGAAAATGACTCTTCATCCTTAGTGTATGAAGACGGGTAGTTTACATTTTCTCCATTGAAAAAGGAGACAGGGATTTTTTAGAAAAGTTGTTAAAGATTCTGAAACACTTTTATACCTTCTGGGTTTAAACAAAATAAGATACAATATATTAAAATATCTCCCCCACCACACTCAGAAAAGCCAGAAGCTAGTGTTGCCTCCAAATGAATTTGAGAAATCTATCCCTTCATTAACAACTTGACACATCAGAAAGAGAAAAGGGAAATTAAAAAATTCTAATGTAGATTCCCAGTATTGCATAATCCAAATATTCATAAATGTAAAGATTTTGAGTTGACTTTTTTCAAAATTATATTCAATTTACATCTCGGTGAAGATTACAAAAGAAGCTATGTTTGAGCTCCTGCTGTCTTGGAATGAATTGTCTAAGCACTAACAGCTCTACCCTGCAAATGTTACTGGCATTAGTGCCTACTAATGTGAGTTAATTCCATTTTTATAGTCTCCCCAATACCGTGTGCAACTCAAGATTCAGGCAAGTGGAGTGGATTTCATTCTTAGAGAACTGAAAATGGCAGATCTAAAGTCCCATCCACGTGCCCCTACAGAAAGACCTGACTCATCCCTGCTCTCAGTTTATGAGACTTAATGCACAGCTCATTATTTTCTAATTTCTCCCCACACGATCAACTCAACTCCATAGGTACATCTGGAATAATAATCCAAGTTATAATATAATTAACTCCAATATACCATAGATAGACTCGAATGTGTAAAACCACCATAGGCTTATGGGCAAAGTAATCAGCAAAAAACACCATAAATGAAGAAAGTAAATATGAGAATTATTCTGGAATTGTCTGCGCATCAATGGACATGTAATCCACCATGCTGTCCCTTGTTAGGCTGTCTGGGAGGAAATAATGAGAGTCAATATGATCTTGAATGCTGACCTTCCTAATAATCCAAAAATCTATATTTTAGGGGACATTAATAACATGCCTATTACCAACAAAGCTCACAGGGAATTTATTCTAAATTTATATTGCCAAAAACTTAATATCACAGAATGGTGTAGATGAATAAGTGACCTTGGCAGTTTGGAAAAATATTATATTCCAGCTGAATGTAAATATTGAAACATTTCATGATTGTTTTAAAAAAAGTATTTTAGATATATATAATTCATTCTGATATAACTGCTATTGCACATGACACAATCTAGTCAGAAAAGGTAAGAGACAAAGAGAATATAGCCCTTTAGAAGCTAAGGTATATCATTCAAAGGAGCAGGTTACATCATGATTTCATTTTTAATTTATGTAACAGACACAGAATGCACTGTATTGTATGTCCCTATTTCAGACAGTTATAATGGGGCTATTGTTCAGGTAGTTTCTGAGTTATCACCAAAAGCAATTCAATCCCAGGCTAGGAAAATGGGTTATAACAAAAATTAACATAACCTAAGTACATACTGAGGATTTCATGAACAGCACAGGTTGTGTTTTTACTGTTAAGGCCCTCTTAAAAGAGAGCTAGTTGCTAGTTCCCCCCAGTTGCTTATAGTATTTAATTAACTATCTCTCCAAGGACGTTTTTTTACAGAACTGCTACCAGTGTCACACATGGCCCGAATGCTTCCATTCTGGTATGATTTGCAAATCTCCATTGTGGGGAGTTGACTAATATATCCCAGTCAGGCCAAGTTTTACCCTCATTTAAGATGACATGTCAGCAAACTCATTTTGAGAAGTATATATATGTGGTGAAGTCAGAAACCATTTGGAAAGTACTAAAACAATTATGATTTAAGAATCAAATTAGTGGAAAACATACAGAGCACTGAAAGAAATTAGAATGAAATTAGTCACCGCAACTAATTAACATTTACTTGCTGTTTTTTTAACTAATGGAAAAATACAAACTGAATAATGTAAGAATTTGCTGGGTACATAATTAGTATCATTCAAGTACTGTGTTTAAAATTAGAATTAAAATACACGCTTTCAATTTTAGAAAAATTTGGAGTTCTAAAACAAAGGATATTTTAAAAAGAAAATGGAAAATTTAATTCAGGAAGATACAGAAGTATAAAAAATTAGCCCTGAAATTTAGCTCTAGAATTTACAAAATAACTGTTGGATAATTATCTTTCAAAACCCATGGTGGGTTAATCAAAGAAGAAGAGGGATGAATTTAAAAAGAGACAAAACTCTGATTTCATATAATCCAGTGGGGACATCCCCTCAACAAAGAACATGTTGCCTCCACTTTTTCCTCTCTCTCTATTGCAGTTTCTGGCTTTCCCTTTACTTTTTATTGGTAACAGAAGCCCCAAAGCTTCTGTCTCTGTGCATGGGGAGCTTGAGGAATCAGTTTGTGCTATTTAGAACTAACTAAGGCTAACACATCTTATACTCACCACATCCCATCTCCACTTTAAAGGTAACTTTGAATCCAGTGCAGAAGTTTCTGATATGGCCCCCAGTGGTGCATTGTGGGTCTGTTGGCTTCCTAATGTAATTGCTCTCATACTAGTGCACAATGTAGACTGGACTATTCCCCTCTGTGATTTGGAGGGAGATAGGAGGAGCAATCAACGCCCACCTCAATGACTAATGTCCCCAGTCCTTCTACATCCCTTAAAACAAGTTATCTTGGCACAACCTCTTCCCAGCTGAGACTTTCACTCATGGAGTGCAGTGATATGTGCCTTCAGTCCTGCCCTCCTTTCAAATCTCAACAGATTCCCCCCAGTTGCATGTATGCATACATCCCTCATTTGTGGCAACACTTAGAAAGGCATCTTCAGTTTTCATTTGAAAAGTCTGGTCACTCTTATCAACAATATTGCTTTGTGTGTGGGAGGTGATGTTATAGAGTGATAGTGTGCAGAGGAAAACAGAAAATAAAACTCCCATTTTTGCATAAGGCTGATGCAGGCAAAGGGCAGTCAGAATTTTGTTCACGCACAACATCAGTATCCAATGTGCACCAATGAGTAATTTGAATTCAGAAGGAATGACAGAATGACAATGGAGGCCCCAAAGCACATCTCAACTTGAGCAGTGATCTTGATGGATCAGTTTGTACTATTTAGAACTACTTAGGGTTACTGCGTATAACCTTCATGGTTGAAAATTACTCTGAGAGTGCCACAAATCAGCTGACCTGCCAAGTTCTGATCATGGAAACAGAGTGAGGCTCTGGGCTCTCTGATTGGGCGGAGACAAATTGTGAGACCAGAGGAGGAAATTAATTGACAAAATATAAGCCCCATCTCCTCATTTCACTTCCATGAATCACACAAACACTAAATCACGTTCAATGCCTTTTTGACGAGTGGCACATCAGAAGAAAAGAGAATCTGATTAACAGAATTTAAAACAATGAAAAAGTAAGCTGCCCCTCTTCTCTGGGAAATATTGTACCTAGATCTCATCATTTTCTCCATGTCTTTCTTGTGGAATCTGATCCTGCAAACACATTTGCATACATGTAACAATGGAGCTGTAAAGATTTTGCAGGATTGGACCTTGAGGCAATCTGTATTTGTGTACATTGTAAAGTGCCAAGCCCACTGTGCTAAAACATTAGTTGTTTTTATTGAAATGTTGTTAATTATTATGGACTAATTTATTCCTAAGGCATTTCATGGCATTCTTTATAACAAGTTATTAAAGAATGAAATGTTATTTATACATTTAATGTTAAAATAATATTAAATATTAACTTTAACTTTCCCCTATTTGTCCAACTGTGGTGCAGCATTCTACAGGGATGTCTGCAGAAAGAGAACTGTTTTGATATGAAGCCTTTTAACAATTCATAAATGAAGCAAGATTAGTTTTGTTACATGGTTACAAGTAGTTCCAATTTTCCGTTCTGAGCAAAAAATGGAAACAGGTACTTTTTTATCTACTTTACTGTAAACTGTGACGATCTAATCCCAGCTCATTCTCATCTTCAGTGCAAACTCCCATAACTGTCCATTTGGCTGCATGGGAATTGTTCTTGAATGCGAACGTTGTTTGTGAGGGAATGGTGATATTAATGAACTGAAGATGCAGAATCAGTCCCATAAAATGTCAGTGACATGGCATGTCTGGGTTACATTTAGAAGATCATCTTTTCAACAGAAAATAAAACACTACTCTGTCATGTTATATACTGTAGCTGACTGATGTAAAAAACAAACTAACAAAAAAACACATGGCCTCTTCCACAGGCAGGGGCTCTGAGAAAGGAAAACTCCAAGAGTTTCCCCTAGTAGAATTTTCCTGGAATTATTCTGTGGGGAGGGGAGTGGGATACAGATTGCTGCTTTGTGCAATGGGCAGCGGTTCTGTCCCAGAACCCATCAAACCTACCAGGGCCTGCCACCTGTATCAGTTCTTCCTTCTGCATCTGTGGAGCCAAACTGCCAGGGAGTCTGCAGGTGGAAGCTGCCCTTAGAATCTGCCTTTAAGGAGAATTCCCTTCTGTGGATGGGAGCTGCAGAAGGATTAGTTCAGGCTCAGGCTGCATTAACTTTCTCGTGGCTTTCTGAAGTGCTTTCTGCAATGCTGTTTTTTGAGTCCAGGCCATGGGAAAAATGCTGCAGAGATGATTGAAATTCCCCCTCCCAGGATGGGGTAGATCAGTATATGGATCCCACTGGTCTTCTCTGGTTGGAAGTCTAATTGGACCCCTTGAAGCCAAAACAGGGGTTTCAGCTACAGCAGCTGGTAAAATTTCTAGTTCCTGTTTTAAGTTAGAAAGTGACCAGATTAAAAAAGGAAAGGAAATAAAGAGCTGGTAAAAAACAACAAAATGGGGAAAATGTCATGGCCCTCCTTCCCTT